AAGATCTACTAGGTCCCTTCCGACCCTTAATCTATGAATTTATGTTAAGTATGGTCTCAGCAAATACTGGATTCTTATCCCATTACTTGGGCTACCTTTTATAAACCCAATGTCCCTAAACAGAAACAACTGTTTTATTTATACCCTTTGCTCTCCTTACCCCACCATAAACTCTCTCAGCAATGCCTGCTCCATTTCATCCCACTTCATGAGCAGTTGCTTATGAAAGCTTATGCTTATCCAATTCAGCTCATCTATAAGGTGCAACTCTACCCTGCCTTCTGTGTATTTAAATAACCTTCATCATTTATATTTAGTACCACTGCTGTCTGCGAGTCTATTCATGGCATATGATGAAGTAGGTAGTCTACAAAAGCTCATGTCTCTCTGAACAAGTTAGTCTATAAAAGGTGCCACCACTGCACTTCCTTCTTCTTATGTACTGTAAATTAACATTTTATTCATAATTTGCATTCAGACAGCACCCACAAACTGATAGTTATTATCCATGCATAATAATTAGCCAAACAACAAGAATTTGTTAGGTAAGCTTAATGTCAAAATATAAACTACAAAAATTTGAATTATGTTGACATTGCTGTTTGTAAGGTAAGATTTTTTTTGAGCTTTAGTGTTAATTTTATTTGGTTCATCTAATATTCAAATAGAGTCCTGATAAATTCAGGAATAGTAAAGCTATTTACTATACTAAAAACCTTTACCAAAAATGTACTTTTTATTGAACTAGAACTTCTCTTCACAATAACATTGTGATGAATGTCTACCCATCTGCTCCAGGGGACAACAAAACAACAGATATACAATTGTGTAGATATTTCTATACTAAATGGTTTATACACGTGGGTCTGTTTCTTTCAGACCACTTCCCCCCTGATATCGTCTCTTATAACATAGACATATATGAAAGCCATAAGCAAGTTTTTCCTTCAACATTTCCCTACCTTGTTTCCCAGCTTGAATACCTCCTCCAGGTTGGTGCTATTTGTATTTATCATAATGGAATCCGTATCTCCATAAATCACTTCAAGGTTCATCTAATTAAAGCAAACAGTCTTAGAAAACAACCTAACCTTTTTAAAACTCTAATGCATTCTGTTGCACATCAGTAAGTGCAATTTTGAAAGTAAGTGTTTACATATATGTATTACCAGTTTAGTACTAAAAATATAATGAAAAATAGGATTTTATTTAAAAGCTTGCACCTATCTTTAAAATATTAATATCTGCATTCAAAGGGAAAAAATAAAGCATGGAACACACCAAGAAAAACAATGAAGACTTTTCAGTTCTACATTTTACCAGTTTATAACTATATTTACAGGTAAAAACATACTGTAAATAAAAATAGGAGGGTAAAAGAAAAATCAATGAAAAATTCTAATCTTATACATTCAAACCTTGCTGTAATTTGCGATTCTGCGTTGACTGGGAAGGGGGGCGCGCACGCGCGTTGACTGGGAAGGGGGGCGCGCGCACAGGGGAGGACCATTGACACTGGCAGACTCTGCCAGATTATCTTCAGACCATTCAGATAAGGGACATATAAACTAAAGTGCTTTTAGCCCATTTCCATGCAAGGGAATACCATAACTCAGTTCCACTGACAGCTATTACACAACACTTCTGCAAACTAACCACATCAGATAGAAGAAATGGCACTTATCTGGCATTTTAATGAGCTAATAGATACCAAGTAGTTCTTCAGACTACTAAACAAGGACACCAAGTAGCTCTCCAGACAGGACTCTGTTCTTCCTTCACATTTCCCAGACTCACCAAGTGACTTATTCTTTCTACTCCACTTCAGGTTTGTTGTTTTTTTTTTTAAAGGAAAGCCAGAAGGTGACTCTTGCAACATGTTGTGAAATGTGTTAGACTGAGTCAGTTCTTCTCTCTTTTGTTAGCCCTTCCACTGGCCAGAAGCCTTGATCAAGACTTTATTTTTCTCCTGCATAAATACCTAGCTACAGCGATTCAAATACTTTGCATTCCAGATTGAACCACTCCTCAGCAGCATCAGGAGATGAATGCAGAAACACCTGCTTTTACAGAGCATATTGGCCTCCCTCTTTAGCAGGAGTAGCAAACACCAAAATAGCACACTGGCACTTCCCCCTTCTACTGCCTCCTAGCCTGATTTTGGTAACAATTCAAAGGCTTTGGTCATAATGGATTGGGGATGGAACAGAGACTGATTCTTTGCTCACAAACCAAGGTCAGCTGTGTTCAGCATTGATAATGCAAGACACTCCACCGAGGTGAAAATTTACAAGAGCTAGGAATGTGCCTAATTTCCAGGCAATAGGGAAGTAAAAGATGATGATTATCACTATTACTCCTCCCCCAAAATTGAACTTTACTAAGGACTCTAGTAGGATACTATCAATATGATGAATAAGGACAACTTGTCTTCTGGAAAGGGAAGAGGTCAGTGCTGTTTAAAACACATATGGTTAAACCCATACTAAATTCCAAATAGTCAAAAATCACCATGTAATAGAATATAAAGGGAGCCAAAAAATAAATCTTAATAAAACACTAGAACACTAAGTGTAACAGGCCTGTGAGTAAACTCTAATTAGCACTGTTGCTAATTTGCTTGAAACACTCACACACAGACTTCAAGCAGGGGCTAGATCATATCTGTGTTAGGAAAAGAAAAAAGCTATAATCCATTAGGAAGGATTACATTTGTAAACTAGGCATCCTAAGAAGTGATTTCAAGTCTGTTTGGGTTACAATTTTCCTAGAATAAAAAAATTTCACCAGGTGTGCTATTTAAGGGTTGTTGTGTAATGAAAATGCTCAGCATTACCTTCTGCACCATCTCCTTGGTATGCATCAAAATCTGAAATGAAAAAAATAATCAAAGATTAATGTATGATATAATTACAAGTTAACATATGCAAACATATCCATTAGGTAGCTAACTCCAAATGTTCTTGCCTTTCAAAACATAAAGCAAGCCATTTACCCCTCCTGGCAATATACACTGCCATCTCGATACCCATATTAAAACGTAAATCCCTGCATTAATACTTCTTTCTAAACAAGATTAAAACAAATCTTAAGCATAATTACATGGGGGGAGGGAAACAAGATACATTAGAAGAACAGTATTAACAAAATCATGTGCTCAAAAGTTAAGACATATCAGAATTAAGGTTTCCTGTGAAACTTTTAATTCAGCTGCCTTCTATATGAGTACATCATAAAGACATATTGATGTAAGTGCCAAAGGTCAGAAATAAAATAAGCCAAAAATTGAGGCAGGCACAGTTAAAAGTATGATTTAAATTAATGAACTACTAATATACACAACTGGGCATATCTACACATATGCTTTTTTCAAAATCTCAGATTCACCCAGAGAGACCAGGAATCACTGGCAGCTAAGATTTTAGCTTTAGTTAAGCAGGAAAGGGAGGGTGAGTTACCTGCACGTTAGGCTCTGTCCCTGCTCTATGCAACTGTAACTCATGAAAAATCTTTTTTTTTTTTAAAGGAAGAATTAAAGGGAAAAAGGTACATATTATATTCCAGGCTATGTGAGTAAATACTGTCTACCGTACACTAGCATCAAATCAAACATATCATAGCAGACATAAAGGATAACAATTATGAGAAACCAGCATTAAAGACAGATGGGACACTTTTGCCAGCGGATCTCACAAATATCTGAGTAGCAAGCCTTGTTAGTTTGAAGTTAGGAAGAAGGCAAAGTCAAAAAAGGGCAAAATCAAAGAGCTGGTATTTGCATTCCACACATACTGCCCTGTGAGAAAATACAATGAACACTATGTCTACAGTACAATGGCATTATATCAATGATGTCAAAGCAGACATACCATTATGAGAAACCAGCAGAAGAATGGCAAGCCTCAAGAATCCTTAACTCTATTCTAGACTAAGTAATGTAGGCAGAAACTCCTTTGCTCATTTCCCTCAAAGTTTGCCCTTTCTGCATCTTTCATTCCAACCTATCCCTGTTCTCACTCCTACCTAACCTCAACCACTGGTTCCTTCACCTAGCCACATTCTCCCCATCTAGGAGTCCTAGTCTCTACACTTTGTGTTTCTGATCCAAGTCCTACCCTCTTTATCCACTGAGGCCTAGAGTCAGCTCTGCAAATGTCCAGCCTCAGCCTCCCCGTACCTTCCAATCTCTCTGTGCTCACCCACTCCCAATGTCATGTCCTTGTCCATAGACTGCTTGTTTAAATCTCTTCCCAACTCAGGCCACCTCCCTCTACCTCATCCATTTCTTTCACTGCCAAGCTTCCATCCCCATTAGATCTCTTTCTCCCTCACCAGAACATCAGAATCCTTGTCTCAGGTTTATTATCCCAGGCTTGGACCTGACCCCTCACCCCTCTCTTTCCCCAGAACACTCAGACCTTCCCTAGCTCTGTGCAGTCTTCTCTATATTACCAGCATCCCTTCTCCCCTGAGGAGGCTGTGTGTTTTTTTTTTTTG